CGGTAAATGGCGTAGTTGTTTATGTGGAAGTGAATGTTGGGTTTTAGGAAGGTTTCTTGGATAAGAGCGATGTCTACATCGTTTTCCTTTAGGTATGCCTCAAATTCGTACTTTTTGGGGTACAAAGATGCTGCATTCCAGGAGACGATATGGACACCTTGGGGTTTTATGTTATGCCTTAGCATAACATTTTAAGGACTGGATGTTGGGAGATTAAAGCCGCCAGTCTGGTGACTTTGGCCTCAATTTCTTGGTCGGAAAGGAGAAGGAGTTTAATAAGTTGGGGATTGAGGTTTGCGTTAGTCGCAGGTTTTGGGGGCGGGGTTTGGGTTAGCTTGGGTGGAGCTTGTTTAGTTGGATGTGTGGGAGGAGCTTGTGGCTGTGATTTTTGGGTGGGTTGGGCTTGGTTCTTTTGGGCATACGAAATACCTGTTTCAACTTTTTTGTTATAAAAATGATAAAGTCTAATCGATATATTTACGAGACGCTGCGCTAAAGATTCTACCTAAACTATTTGAGATGTTTCAAACCATATACCACACCAGTAAATCAACTTTACACAGTTATCAGCCACGTTAAAAGCACACAAAATCAGAAAATCCAAAAATACCGATGAAAAAGGTTCAATGTTTGGATCAAAAACCTGACCTACCGCAACACATCAAATGTCATTACGACATCACTAATGGCGCGAATTGCCTTTCGATCGAACGTCACGACGTATGACGTCACGACCATTCCTGCGCGTTTAGTGTCGTTTCAAATGTTTTCATTTGAACTGTAGCCACAACTTTAATTGTTTATTGCAAATTAAATATTGCGATTTGAGGGCTGATATTTGGCATGCGCGATTTTTATAACTAGGCAAATATTTTAAAGAAATAAATAAAATGTTCAAGTCCCAATTGTAATTGAATTGTTTGGTACAACCCCAGAACGGAATAACCAGTAACCATTTTTCAACGGAAAATATTTTCAAATGCGTATTGCGTTGATGATTGTGCTTATCACCAATCATCCATAAGAATTACTGTTCAGTTCTCCAAGAACCATAATCGGTCAGATCAGCAAAAAATTGTTTAGTTGCAGCGTTGATATAAATAATAATAATAAATGTTGAAACATTTTTACTCTATAAGTATTTAGTTTTCTGCCGTTCTATAGCTTGCCGAATTAAGCCAAACTAACATGATATTTAAAATTGCTTTAACGTGACAAAAAAACTAGTAGCAAACTAATTGTGCGATTATATAAAAGATAATAATCAGATTAATAGGGATTTGTTTTCCACTCGTATTTCCGGGCCATATGTTAGTTATTAACAATTTATTGCCAAAAATTCAATGCGATGCAATTTTTGTCGTTTTGTTTATAATATTATATAATAATGGAGTAATAGGAATGCCCAACGAGATGATTTGTAGAGAATAAAAATGTCTACAAAATGAGGGGTTGAATTAAAACATTAAAACCTGAAGTAGTAAATAAATTTCCATGAACAGTTTAGTAGTTATTTTTCCAATATTCCTTGCCAGAATCCTTACATACAGTTGCTGTGTAAACAGTAATATAAATTAAAACTTGCGACGAATCATGTGCATTATTAATAATTGAGTTTGTTTTCTATCAGTAAAATTCTGTAAGCCCAATCAAAATATTTAAATATCTACAGCTTACTGTAGATATTGTCCAATAAAAACCAAATGTATCACTGACGCAACCTAAAATGCTGACCTTTTTTCCATCCGACAATCGGATAGCAAATACTCATCGAATAGCCAGCAAAATCGGAACATGATCATCGGATACAAAAACGGAGACGGATCGGGCAGGTAGCGGAAAGATGTGAACTACGGCGTTGAAAGTCCGGTACCATTTTGCTCTCAGATCTTCGTCCGATTGTATGATCGGAGTCGGATCGGATATATGTGACCCGGCCTTAATACTGCGTTAATGATATTGTGAAACAAAATGTGAGGAGATTATTTTCTAAAGCGAGTGCTACCATAAACAAGCGAAGAACTAGACTCAGTAAAAAGCATCTGCAAAATCTTTTATTCTTAAATGTTATATAATTTTTAAATAAAAATTTGATTTTTAAACATTTTCGTATATAAACCGTATATTTTATTTAATCACTCTAATTTATTATTAGTTTTTTTGTTCTTTAAGTAGTTACTTCTGACCCATGTTTTGTTTTCAATTTTAGAATATTTTATTTTAAGTTTACCAATGTTTAAAATTATTTTTTTAATAAACTAAATCATCAGTATTTATCATCACTATTTCTAATATCATTGCGCATTTGTAATGAAAAAATTAAAAAGTACACAATATGTTCCAAAAGGAACATGCATATTTATATTACCAAAGTGAATAGGAACGTTGTATCACGTTACAGAAAAATAATCGTTTATCACACCTTTATATAATTAGTGCTTCTGTTCCATGCGAGAGATTATTTTATAAAACAGGTGCTACCATAAACAAGCGAAGAACTAGACTTAGTAAAAAGCATAGGCAAAAAATGATTCTTAAATGTTAATTTTAAAATGAAAATTAGCTTTTTAAACGTTTTCGCATAGAAAGATTTAATTAATAATTTTATTTAAACCATTCGATTTTATTATCAGTTTTTTTCCTTTCAGTAGTTACTTATGACCCATGTTTTGTTTTATATATTATTTTTAGTTTCTCAATGCTAAGAACATTTTTTTTAAATAAACTAAATCATTATTTATCATCACTATTTCTACGATCATCATCATTGCGAATTTTTAATGAAAAATTTAAAAAGGAACATGTTACTTTTGACACGTAATACCCAAGTAAAATTGCAACGTTGTAACCTGTTCCAGAAAAATAACCGTTGGGCACACCTCTATTTCAAATATGGAATAAAAAGTGCGACATTCTATTTAAAAAAATGTAAGTTTGGTCCGCCACTTGAATTATAGACACCCTGTATCAATTGGTATTATTAAAATAAAAAAGACGTTAATATCTGCAACTTCCGTAATTAATGTTTTTTCTTAAATTTCAAATTAGATGTAAAAACGGGGTGGCCAAAGGTCAATCAATAGCCCTGTACATTTTGCTTAGGGTGCTGGTTATAGGCATTATCTGGAGTAACGGACAGGCACATGACAAACTATTCTTGCTTATCTAATAAGAATGTTTTGTCGTGTCATTGCCGTGTCTTTGCCGGTCGTTGGTTAATTTTTTTAAAATTTTAATAAAAAAATTCCGATCACTCTACAACACATGCTTTCCAAGATTCAGTCGCTTACCATCCTTATTGCGTCACCCTGTATATTTCTTAAATGTAAATATTTCTTAAGTTTTACAATTTAAGATGTCTAAAACAACTTAAGTAGGTAAAGGTTTACTGTATTAAGCTTTATCGATTATTTATATCACAAATATAGAAGAAAAGGTTATGAAGATGCAAGAAAAATCGAGGATAACGTTAGTCTAGGAAGCAAGTGAGGATGTATAAGGTTAAGTTAGGTTTAAGTTAGTTTAAGGTAGATTAAGCGTATTGATGTTATATTATCCAAATCATGTTAGTTTTTAGAACTCGTAGATTAAGTAGCAGGAGGAAGGTTGTAAGCCTTGTCTGGTAATAAATATGTTCACAAGTCAAGAAAGCTATATAAGTAACGCTATGTAGTATAATCAGACTATAATAGCAAGTAATAATAGTAAGTAATAAATTAAAAAGTTCTCACCGATTATCTGGCTTGTAAAGTACCCTAATGCAAACGCCGACAAAATCCATCCTTGCAAGTGAAGGGTCCATCCGAATACTTTGGTCATTGGCACTATTGCAATGGGCATAATAACTCTGTCTGCACTGTTAATGAAATTAGCAAAGCTGCACAGAGCTACAATGCGTGAGGTTCGAGTAAACCAACGTATTCGAGCCATTTTAATTTAAATTCTGTTTGAGTTTTTTAAAGGTAGCAGTAACGTCTTTTGTGCCGCTCTAATTTGATTCTTCTGTTTATAAATTTTCTTGATTATTCTTCAACAAGTTGGGCGTACAATACCATTTTTCGTTATGTTCCACTATCGGAAAGAACACTTTGATGTCTTAAAATTATGTTTTTTCCATGTTTCCATGTTTTCTTTATTACAATGTCTGTTTACTTGAAAAACTGAACAGCTGGCGAACGTCACCAATTGAAAAAGAAGGTCATGACAACTGACATTCTTTTGACGGGACCCTGGGCGTTTATTTTCATGAGTATAGGTGAGCACACCCGGGGAATTTTTGTATTGCCGATTGCCTGAAATCGGTGAGAGCAAATTCACCTGGTCTAGACAGGCGAGTGACAATTCACATGTGTGAGAGTCTTACTATCATGCGCAAACACAGAACTAACTGAATCAAGAGTTTGGTAATCTGTGATCAGAGATGCCAGGTCCACCGATTTTTCGGTAAATTTACCGACTTTTCGTTAGATCTACCGATTTGTCAAGGAACCTACCAATCTACCGATACCATGCAGATTTCTACCGAAAAGTAACAAATAAAAGTTGAATATATTTTCGTGGATTACTTAAAATAATAACATTTGATCATGAATGGAAATAATAATTTCCATTCATGATCGAAGTACGTTGGTAATAGCAGACATTTTATTTTAGCACACCTCGTATTTTAGAGTTTTTTTTCAAACATAAAATGAATCAAGTCAGCCATATAGATCATAAATATGGTAAAACCAGGTAAAACTATGTTTTATGGATCCTGAATAATGAAAGTTCCCTACAATCTATTTCTGATGTTGCAATGATATTTCCAAATTTAATAAATGATAGTGAATTAGAAGGTCTGGACACAGAATGACGTCTGTTGCGAAATGTTGAAGAAATTTAAAAAAATTGGGATAATATTGAAGAGTTTTGGAGCCAAGTATAAATATTGAAATATGGAGCTGATACATTCGTGTTTCCAATTTTATTTGTAACATGCTTATTCTACCTCACTCATCAGCCAAGTTGAACCGATATTTTCACAGGTTAATCTCATGATACAATGAATACATTCATGTATTCTCATCGGTTATCTAAAATTTTCTATTTTCACAGGTTAATCTCATGATACAATGAATACATTCATGTATTCATCGGTATCATGGGTTAATCTAATGAAAACTAAATTGAGAAATAAGCTAAAAATTGGTACAATTTCATAAAATTCTCACACATGTGAATTGTCACTCGCCTAGACGGCCTAGACTGGTGAATTTGCTCTCACCGATTTTAGGCAATCGGCAATACACAAATTGACCGGGAGTGCTCACGTAGACGCATGAAAATAGACGCCCTGGGGGAGGGCCTCGTGTTGATTTGTGCCACAACCATCGAGCAGAGAAGAAGAACTTGTTCTAACCTATATACAAGTGATAAACAAAATATCTGTTTATATTTTATCCTTTTAAAGATAATTTAGTTAGAGTAAAGAAAAGTTAGTTACAAAGAAAATCATAAAAGCAGAATGCGAATTACATGTTCATACCGACAAATTGTTAATCAGCAAACTCTCGAAGTTTTGAAAAGATCAATTAATAAGACAATTGCTGATGCAGCGCCCCATATCCAAGCAGCTAAAGAGAAGCAAATGAAAATTCTTAGTTCAAAATTAATCCAATTTAATGATTGGTATATGAGGATTACAGGTCTGGATAAAGTGACTTTGGCCCAAGAAAAAGTGACTGCATTGCAGGTAAGATAAGACACTTGACTAATGGTGGGTTTATACAAGAGAATAAGGATAAGGCTTAATGCATAAGAATAACGCCTAATGGGGTGTTAATAAAGCGGAATAAGGAACAATATTATTTTGTGTACAGCCAATAAAATTGGAAGCATAGGCTTAAGAAACAATAGGGTTGTGTCTATTTATTGTCAACATTATCGCGGTAACATACCAATAAAAGCTTATTTCCCATAAATAGTGTACATTAAAATGGATTTGTCAACTGAAGAAGTGGTAGTTCTTTTTGGATTAATAATTTAATTTTCTAACCTCACAACAAAATGTAAATACGATGTTTCGCGGTCACGCGGGATATTGGAATATCATGTATCTTACAAACTGTGCATGCCTCATTAGAATAACGCCTAACGCATAAGATCAAAGTTAAAAGTTGGCCACTTTCTTAAGCCTTAAGGCCCATTTATAAACCTGACGTTGCCGTTTGCGTCAAAAATCAAGTATTGGAATAGCTAACCTCCATTTATAAAAACCGGTGGCCGGTACCATTTCCGTTCTGTGCCGGTCAATATGAACCAATTTCATTTCTTGCCGGTGAACGTTCGTAGAACAGCCGTAGTACTGACGTATAGGGATGACACGAAATACTTGTCACAGGTACTTTGGAACAGATATCGATATGGAACAGGGTTTGTGTAAACTCTTCTTCTTGAGTTTCTGTATTTTTTTGTCGTAATTTCTTATTTGCTTTGTATAATCTTTGACGTTCAGCACTAGTTCGTGGT